CTTGTTCCCCCCTGTGTTCTCTGCATGAGTAAATTAACTAAAAGTAAACAAAAGAGCCAAGATTGAGCCAAGTCAGTCTCAATCAGAAGCCACCTTAACTATCTCCGAAGTTTGACTTAACTAAGGAGCGAAGAGCAAGGTCTCTGCTTCGTATGTGGCGTCACTAACAGAATTACATGTAATTATGTATTAGATATAATTATATAGAATCCTATATATATAATTTTCTGCCAAAGAGCTTCAGTGAAAAAAATAAGCTTATCCTAAGATAAACATGCACACACAGAGGACACAGAAGAGAAGAAAACAGGACAGGAGAAGAGGGAGGGAGGGAGGGAGAGGCAAAGGCAGTCACAGGAATGCATCAGCTTGGATGCACACTTCAAAGCAAATGCCCTGCCACTGAGTCACATGCCCAGCCCTTGTTTTTGTGAGCCTATGTCTCACTATGTAGAGCAAGCTGACCTCAAACTCATGATTCTCCTGCCTCAACCTGTTGAGTACCAGAATTACAGACTACATCAACGTACCAGGCTAGTACTCAGAAATTCCATATATAGGAACTTGGGAGATGGCTCAGTGAATAAGAGCTTTGTAAGTGTGAGGGCCCGAGTTCTAGTCTTCAGCACTCATGTAAAAACCTAGGCATGACTGCCTAGGCCTGTAACCCCAGTATTGGGTAGGGATAGAAACAGGTAGATGCCCAAGCGCTTGCTGGCCAGCCAACCTAGCCAATGGTGTATTAATGAAACAGGGAGTCCAACCCACCTCATCCGGTAGAGATGTGAAGTCAGAGAAAGCAATGAAAAGTTTCCTGTATCAATTAGATGTGACTGCATATGTCATGTGAAGCAGGAAGCTGTCAGTTCCCTGTCTTGTCTAATTGTATTTTTCACAAGCCCCTCCCTTATGCGGTGACTTCAAGGCTAGTGGTGAATAAACCAGTCTATTTATGAAAAGTCTGTTCCTAGTCCCATCCTGTGGCCTCTATGACATTTTTGCAGTCCAACAGTTTGCACCAGAGATAAGCAAATCTAGGAAATTAGGAGGCTTCTGGAGCTTGTGCAGAGGGGGAATGAATGCAGAGGAGAGGGGTATATGAGTAAATGCTTTCTAGTAAACCTTTCAGATCTGTATCTCTTCCAGAAGGCTTTTTATTTCAAAACCCATTTTAAAAGTCAATGATCATTAAACATGCAGAGACGTAAGCGGGTTTCCGCTTTGTATTTCATTTGACACACTTCCAAATTGGTGTCTGCTTGTTTGCTACTTCCGCGGGGGGAGGGGTACGGAGAGCTAAGCCTACCAGACTCTGAACTACAAACCTCACCTGCATCTTAGATATACCTAAACCTGGTGCGCATCTGTTCTCCTCACAGCCCCTGAGAAGGAGCACATTCAGGCCTCCACCACGGCATGAGACTTCTGCAAAGCTACACACACGCGCCCCGCCCCCACACTTCTAGAGAGAACTCCTGGTATAGGTGTTTCACCCACAGCACTGCCGTGGCTCATGGAGACCTCTAGGTATGGCCTAGTCTGAATGTTCTCCTGTGACACCCACTCTGCTGTCCCTCCCCTGGAGGAAAACCCCCTCCTGTCTGTATACTCTTGGGGCTATGTCTGGGTCAGCTCCCACCTACCTGCCCGCCCCCTTTATTCCTTCCCTTGATCCTCTAGAGTAAAGAGAAGCAGTTGGCGGCTTGGCAAGGTGACTCCTTTACAGGGGCATGTTCTAAGGCAGCACACGGCCTCTTCCTGGCCAGGGTTAGCTGCTGGTACAGGATAGAACGCCTTGGTGCTTGGCCTCCACAGTCACCATTCATTACACAGTCTTTATCTTTGTGCATATCCTGGAACAATACTCTTAAATAAACACTCTCTCTCTGCGGTTATTTACTTTGTGTTTCCATGATCTCAATGGGACACAGAAATGGAGGAGACAGAAGACTTAGCAAATAAGCATTTGCCACACCATCTACGCACAAGGGGACAACTGTGAGGGATAGTGTTTTGTTTTCCAAGGGAGGTACGTCACTGGCGTGACACACGCCATGTGTGTGAGCACAGAGTGACTTAGAAGTTTCCATGTGACCCAGAATTCCAGATAAGCCTGTATCCAGCGAGCGAAGGCAGCAGGGCTTAAGGACAGGAGGCCACTGCTCAGCCTTGTCTGCCCCCTGAACCTTGGGACCTGGGGCACACCCTTGAACTTTCTAGGTTCTTGAGTGCAATCAAAGATGACTCCAGGTTTTATGCCTGATGTTTTGAATTATGGATTTTTTTTCACCATGTGTCACTACTCACAATCACAGTTGTGGTGTCACGGGCAGATTTGTTTACAGCTGGGGATATCAAAGCTCAGTTGGAGAGATTATTGAGTTCACAAATAAAAAGACAGCAGTCACGGACGGCCGTCTCCTAGAGATCTACCTGCATTTGCCAGTGAGAACCCAACTGCCAATCTTAACCACCTCCCTTCAGCTCATCCTTGTTAGCTAGAAGCACAAAGGCCCACTCAGAGCAAGCCAGATTCCCATGAGGACCTGCCAAGAGGAACCACGAAAGAGGATGAGGAAATCCAAGCTCCCCGGGGCCATTGTGTTTATTCGTACTTAAGATAGACTGGCCCCATTCTTACCATAGAACAGCAGGTGTGTTCTTGTATGACACCCAGAGGATGACGGGACATTTTTCCAGGGACCTGGGAGAGAGTGAACCTACTTCTTCATTCGGTTTATAAAAAGCAGGCAGCGTCCAGGTAGCAGCACATCAATGACACTGTCTCTGACAGAGGCAGGTCAGAGGAGTTCCCGTGTAGTCAGATACAAGTGTTCTCCTCAAAACCTGGCCCCATCCTGTTCTTTCGCATGTACAGGCACACAGCGCATAGGGCTGAGCACCCTTTAAACACACACAAACATCAGAATTCATCAGATAGCTGCAACGCACACAGCCATCTGCCAGAACAAGTCGTCTCAGAAGGGTTGTCTCAGAAATCATCCTGTGAAAACTAACCCTCTGTGCACCAGGAGTCCCAGCACCCTGGGGTCTGAGGCAAAAGGATCCAAAGGCTGATGGCAGCAAAAGCCTGTCTCAAACACTTTTAGTGTCCCCGAGCTGAGAAGGTAGCCTGTGTGCAGCCTAGAATCCCATTCTTCAGCCCCCAGGAGAAGGCGGGGCAGGACTACAGAGGACACAGCACTGCTTTTGAATGAAACCATCAAACCTTGGGGTGCCTTTGATTTTCCAAAGGGAATTTGTCGTGTGGATCTTTGTGTACAGGTGTGTGTATATGTGTGAGTAGGTGTGTACACAGGCTTGTGCACATGCTTATGTAGGTGTGTGAACAGGTATGTATACATGTGTGTGCGGTTGTGTGTACATGGTGTGCACATGTGTGTATCTGTGTACATGTGTGTGCGGGTGTGTATACAGATGTGTGCTCATGTGGGCATGTGCAGGTGTGTGTAGGTCAAAGGTCAGCCTCAAATATCCTTCCTCAGGAGCCATTTACCTTGTTTTTTGAGGCAGCTTCTCTTGGAGGACCTGAGGTTCACTGATTAGGCAAGACTGGCTTGCCAGGGAGTTCAAGGGACCCGCCACTCTCTGCTTCCCCAGTGCTGGGATGCCAAGCCTGTGCCACCATGCCTGGCCTTTTTATGTGCACTCTGGGGCTCCAAGGTGGGTCCTTATTCTTGCTTAGCTCTACTGACAGCTGTCCCACCAGCTTCAAGTATCGTGGCCTCAGTCCGTGCGTGTGGTCAGCGTGTAGGCAACATAACACGGCTTCCCAATGCTAAAGACGACGATGGGTTGAGTTGAAAGAGTGACGGTAGCATTCTCAGGGAAGACTTAGGGGCTTACAAAGCCCACTCCTCTGTAACCGCATGCGTTTCATCTAATGACACTGCTAATATCGTTCACGACACGTAGCATAGAAGCAGCCCCCTTCCCCCGCCCCTCCCCCTCCCCTACCCCTCCCCGTGACCAAGTTCACAGGAGAAACAGGCAAAATCCATACCCAAGAAGAGCAATTTCCCACAAAGCCTGACCATCGGGTTGCCGGTGTTCACCCCACTGGACTGAGGAAAGGATTCACGAGGCCTTCCTTCTGCGTGGACCTAAGAGGGGTTCCCAGAGGAGATGGGCCCGTGAGACAGTGCGCAGGCTGGAAGACAGCCATCCTCAGAGAGGGCGGGAGGTGTCCTAGTGAGGGTGTCTATTGCTTCCATGACCAAAACGCAAGTTGGGAAGAAGGGTCTGTTTGACTTATGACGCATCAGCATTGCTGTTCATCACTGAAGGCAGTCAGGGCAGGAGCTCACACAGGGCAGGAGCTCACACAGGGCAGGAGCTCACACAGGGCAGGAGCTCACACAGGGCAGGAACCCGGAGTCAGGAGCTGATGCAGAGGCCATGGGGGAGTGCTGCTTACTGGCTTGCTCCCCCTGGCTTGCTTGCCCAGCTTTCTTATAGATAGAACTCAGGACCACCAGCTCAGGGATGGCACCACCCACCCATGGGCTGGGCCCTCTTCCACTGACCACTAATTGGAGAAAATACCCTACAGCTGGATCTAATGGAGACAGTTCCTCAACTGGGGTTCCTTCCACCAATGACTCTAGCTTGTGTCAAGTTGACATACAAAACCAGCCAGCACAACTTGCCCACCTTGTCATCTTGACACAGAAACACAGCACTATTAGGCCACAACCCTTCCTTTCATACTCATCTCTAAGATCTCACATTAAAATCATAAATAATTTTAAAAATCCCACAGTCTTTACAAATTCAAACACATTAAAAATCTCAGTCTCTTTAAAACATCCAATCTCTTTTAAAAGTTCAAGTCTTTCATCCGTGGGCTCTTTTAAAAATCAAAATTAAATACTTTGTTCAAGAGGGAAGGACCATCACTCTGTCACAATCTGAACCAAGCAAAATCAAACGTTAACAGCATAAATAACTCAATGTTTAATTATCTGGGATTTACTCACGGTCTTCTGGGCTCCTCCAAGGGGCTGGGTCTCTTCTCCAGCTCTGGCCTCTGCAGCTCACACAGCTTGTCCTCTAGGCTCCGGCTGGCTCCACGCCACTGCTGCTGCTGTCCTTGGTGGCCATCCCAGGATACTGGCATCTCCAAAACTCTAGGTTCTTCTGCTGCAACTGGGCTGCGCTTTCACAAATAGTCTCTCATAGGCTCTCCTCATGATGCCAGGCCTCAATTTCTTCGCATGACCGCCTCAGTCCTGGGCCCTCAACTGCCACCGAGGCTGCACCTTCACCAATGGCCTCCCCTGGCCTCTCAAGGGCCAAGCCTCAGCTGCTCTCCGTGACCCCTTCATGCCATCAAAACCAGTCTCACCTGGATGACTCTAACACATTACCAAGTCTGCGCTGCCAACAGGAGATACAGCCTTGGCTGCCTCTGGAACACAGCTTATCTGTGCTCTCAGAAAACACTTCCCAGAAGATTTCTCCTCAGTGATGCTGGTCTCTTATTAATCACTGCTAATTTCTTAGTTTCAGCTGACCAGCATCAAGTATCCCAGCTAAGGTTTCACTTAGCTATTCTGATATCTTGTTAATCACAGCTGATTCTTCAGCCCCAGCTAACCAGAAACATAGTTTTTTGGTTTTTTTGTTTTTGTTTTTGTTTTTTTTATTTTTTTATTTTATTTTTTATTTTGGTTTTTTCGAGACAGGGTTTCTCTGTATTGTTTTGGAGGCTATCCAGGAACTCCCTCGGTAAACCAGGCTTGGTCTCAAACTCACAGAGATCCGCCTGCCTCTGCCTCCCAAGTGCTGGGATTAAAGGTGTGCACCACCACTGCCCGGCCAGAAACACAGACTTAATAGAGAATAACAAATGTTCCTGATGGAGTCTTTAAACTTCCCTCTGAAACTTCGCAAGCCAGGCCTCCATCCTCTGCACTGCTCTCAACGTTTTTGCCTTGCAAGTTCCTGAAGAGCACCCCACTGAGCTCTTAATGCTCAACCACTCTTCTAGCCCAAAGTTCCAATTCTGTATATGTGAACCTTGTAGGAAGATAGGAATCATCAGATATTGATATGCAGGGCACATCTGGTATACAGTTGTGGTGACAATCAATCAGTGTAATAAATGATTCCACGCTTCAGCGTTATATTGAGATGTGTATTTTCAAGCCTGTCTGATAGATGTCAAATCAAGATTTCCATTCAAGCTCCTTCTTAGTACATTCAACTGTGTTTATTTGAAATATTGGGTAGGCCTGATAGCCATAATGTTTTCCACCGGCGTGTGTTTGAAAACTTGATCCCTAGCTCATAACACTGTACTGGGGAGTCATGGAAACTTTAGGAGGCAGAACCTAGCTGGAGAAGCTGGCTCTCTGGTGGGTGGAGCTTGAATTGATTGACAGCGTGTCTATCAGATAGTGGCGCCTACCGTTGCCTGCATCCCTTATAATCAGCATACCTATGTACCCTGGTGTCCACTGCTCGTCCAGTCTGTTTTCCACCCAGACCTTTCAGCTCCCATACATAGCTCTGCCTTCGAGGTAGGAAAACTGGAGATTTCCATAGCATGAGGCATGGGCGGAAATGAGGGTTCAGTTGCATCAGAGACAGCAAACCCCCCTCCATCTGAGAGGAAGGTGTGCTGACTCTCAGTTTAAAAGTCTCCTCTGTGACTTCTCTCCTCTGGTGGATGTCCTCTGCCAGCATGTAACCTGCTATTCTGGGTCTGAGCACATTCCATTCACTCATTCCAAGCCCCACCACGGATACACTATGCTCCACTCTATGACCAAATCAAATGGGGAAACATGGATTTGCTACCTGCACTATGAGAACCAGCTTCACCAGGAAAACCTAAGGCCTGCACACACTGGCCGTGACATGCCCAAGGGACACGCATTCCATACTTGCACAGCACTTAGCCGACAGATGCAGCCACACCTAGCCACACCTGTCCCACGCAGGCAACGGAGTCCCTGCTGTCACCTTTCCTATGTGTGAAGCTGGGAGACCTATAAGTCTCACTTAACCAGAATAGGATTTAACCACTGGCTCATGAAATATAAGCAAAGATGTGTGGCGTTTCTGACTCTAGGTGTTGTTTTTGGATGATTGCAGCCCCTCTGGTGGCCATTTCCTGGGTAATCAGGTCTGGAAACGGTAATTTGCCATTCACAATGGCAGTTTGTGTGACCTAGTTAGGATTGGAAGAGGGAGGTTCTTCCAGTTCTGCTCTACACCTGGACCCCCTTCAACAACAGCAAGCACTCATCCTCACCTCTCCATCTTCGGTGCCGGCATCAATGGCAGCAGACATCTAGGATGTCAGCATGTCAGCAGCCCAGGTAAGACTTCCTATCTCTGTGTGAGCCTGGGCTGACCAAGCCAGGGCTGCTTCCCGGCCTGCGTGTCAGGTTTGTCCCAGGTGGAGACTGGAGCATGCCCTTCTGCTAATGTCAGGCTAGGACACCGGTTTCCTCCCATGGTGAAAGGGATGGGACGTGGTCAGTTAGAGCAGAAAGGAACACCACAGTGGAATACCTTCCCTAGCCAGGACTTCCCTCCGCTGGCGCTTGCTGAGAGATGTGAAGGATAGAGATGTGCAGGAGGAGCTATCCGGATGGAAGCAGGGTACGTAGGCTTCCACTGGAGTGCACAGCTCACCTGGAGTTGTAGCGGTGGAGAGAGTATGGGCCAGGTTTAGCTGCTCAGAAGGGGAGGAAGGAGGAAACAGGGGAGGTGCCCCTGCTGTTGCTTTATGTATCCTTAATACAAAACTATTTTATTAAAAGCAATTTTTAAAAAGAAACCTATGTTGTGTACATATTCAATGTATCTGAACCATATTGATTACCATCCCTCCAACATCCTCCTTCCACAACTTCTTGTCTTCCATTAAAAGAAAACAAAACAAAACACTGACCCCAATTAGCGCTGCTCATATGTGCATGACTGTAGAGCTATCCGCCGGAGGATGGGCACCCTACTAGAGCCCACATCCCTGAAGAAAACTCTCCAGCTTCTGCTGAAATCTCCACAGCTAGAAGGAGGGCCTCACGAGCCCCTCTGCTGACGGGCTCAAGCTTGTGGGCAGGCAACAGCAGCTGCTCAGAGTTCAGAGTTCACTGCCTTGTTCGCCCAGAAGATGCTGTCCAGACCGCTCTTCTCACGTCGCCCCGCCACGCCCCCTGCGTCTTTGAGGGGAGGGGGCTGATGCAGAGCCACGCCCCCTGTGTCTTTGAGGAGCGGGGGGCTGATGCAGATGTCCCGTTGGGAGCAGGACACTCCACAGTCACTTATTCTCTGCACCTTGGCCAGCCGTGAGCTCTTCGGGAGAACCAGCTTTACCTATGGAGAAAACTGAGTGTCCTGATGTCCTGCCATGTCCTCTTCAGCGGATGATTGTAAGATTGTCTGCCCGATGCACAGTGTCTGCCGTGACACCTGCACGGCCTGCAGAGATAAAAAGCCAGCGTGAACACAGTTCACAGCTTCACTTTTGTGGTTTATTATTGTTTTTATTTATTATTATTATTACTATTATTACATGTAACTTGTGGTTTCTCCTTGTTTTTATTATTTATTATTATTATTATTATTATTATTATTATTATTATTATTGGTTTTACAAGACAGGGTTTCTCTGTACTGTTTTGGAGGCTGTCAGTCCAGCCCAGCCTCGAACTCAGAGATCCTCCTGCCTCTGCCTCCCAAGTGCTGGGATTAAAGGCGTGCACCACCACTGCCCGGCTTATTATTATTATTATTACTATTATTACATGTAACTTGCTTTTAAATTTTTCCTCTATGGTAAAGCAGAGCCTGTGTTTCACTCATTCACTTATTCATTATTCCCCCAGAGTCACTCACTGACATAAATGCAGGCCCAGATATGCAAGTAAAGTTCCAAAAAGGGATCTAACAAACTTGGAACGTCTCGAGTTTAAAAAAAAAAGATAAGTTATTTTACTCTTGATAGTCGTAAGACAGTAGCATCTTCTACTTTATGGAAAACAGATCTACATATTTAGTCTGTTAAACTGTGCATAGACAAACTATCTCCCCCAACACAGACCAGGAGTCTGTATAGAAACAGGAGTAATGAAGAGCAGGAACTCCTGTGTGCCCCGAGTTAGGAATGTTATAATCGTCATGGGAGCATCTGGAAGCAGGTGAAGTCTCTTTCTGTTTCCAAAACTGACGTCATGCGCCCATCCAGCACTGTCATTTCATGCAGTGACTTGGCTAGTGGAGGAGGAAGAACATGGATGACCACCACTACATCATGCTTTCTTGAAATATAATATATCCCCTTCATCTGAGGAGAGTCTTCAGGCAGGGCACTGTTCTTTGCCTAAGTTTCCTTTCCTATAAAACAAAGGTAGCAGTATGTGACTCCCAGGGTCAGAGTGCAGCCTCGGGGCTACCTTCCTAAGGCAGGGCCCCCTCCACAGGCTCAGGCACATCTGAGCCACATTGTGAGCCAGGTGTCACATGTCCCTCTCCATACACATTCTGTTCTCTATTCCCACTTCTCTGTTTAATGATTATTTTTTTAATTCCTCCCATCATCTTAAACAGTAAGCCTTTAGGAGTAGAGTGTCAGTGGAAAAGGTCACCAAGTCCTGACCATCCCCAGGACTCTCTGTCCCTCCCAGAGCTGGCCCATTCACACCGCTGTCACCCTCGTTCACTGTCTCTGGGTGACCCAGCATGCCTCCTGAGTGGCCAGCTGAGTTCACTGAGCGTTCCACCTGGGAAAATCTCCATCTGCAGAGAGCATCGCCCCACAGACCTGCACTTACGAAAGTGTCACACTCAGGCCCTGGTGCGCCTCTGACTGTTCAATGTTAGTGACAGCACACAGATTGGTCCCATCTGATGCCCTTCAAAACTAAGGTTGTTGTGACTGGATGAGATTTGCTTGTGAACACTCAAGGTGGGATTTATGTTTCATGGGATAGGAAATAGTAAAGCTCTTTTACTTTCTAAAAATTCTAAATTAAAATAATCTTGTTTTTCATATTGGACCAGCAGGGTAATTTCCGGACTTTTCTGTGTGGTTTCTCTCTCTCTCTCTCTCTCTCTCTCTCTCTCTCTCTCTCTCTCTCTCTCTCTCTCTCTCTCTCTCACTCACTTTTACACACACACACACACACACACACATCTCAGGTGCAGGTGGACAGTCCTACTGTGGGCAGCAAAGGTAGAGAAGGTCATGGATGACCCCCTTCCCCAGGATTGGGAAAACGAATGAACCAGACAGAGAGTAGACAAAGAGGAAAGAGAAATTGTGGGAGGCAGGGACAGAGATGCAAATGATTTCCCAAGCCACCAGGTATCAAAGGCATCTAGAAGGTGACTGGAGAGCTTCTGAGGACAGGAGGAGGGTTTCAGAGTGGGCTAGGATGGCAGGGCACATTTCTGATTCAGGTGAAGGGAAA